GGAGCCACAGACTAACTGTCCCTGATGAACCCTCACAACCAGCTTTATTAGGTGTCCTCAGAACACAGTTCCCGTCACGCGCCACTAACCCTCCCCTTTCCATGTGGCATCCTCGTGGTTCTGGCATTCCCACAAACAGAGTTTGAGAGGGATGAACTCACAGCTCCACTGGTAGAGTCCTACATATTAAACGTTTAGAGTGGGGCTCAAACTTTTCTGTTGACCTCTCCCACCTCCTGATTCAAAGATACATGGTGGTGACACTTGAGGGAAAATTAGGGAGAGGGCCTTTGCCCCTATGACTCTTCAACCTTGACATTTGGGCACTTGCTAAGGATGGAGTTTTGCACCCTTTGGTATGCCAAAGAAAGCTTAATATAGTGTACATAAACACTGATCAGAGCAGGAACGAAGAGACACTCTCAGGTAACCCCTTTAACCATTAGGCTATGGAGTCATGTGTCAGCACTCTGTCCTGATAAATATTTAATTATTCCATGTAAACTGGAATCATCCCAACAAGTAAGAGCAGAAGAATATCCGCTAGCATAATGTACAGTGCACTCTTGTGGGTAAGAGAAGCACTATCAGCTCCTATCAGGCCAAGTAAGGAATTGGATATGGATTTTCTAGATCCCTGGAAAACACCCTAACCAAATAGCCTCTTCAGAAGGAAAAGTGTATGAGCAGTGCCTTTACACACACATTGCAAGAGAAGTCTTGCTATGTCCTTACTTACAGAAAGTAGTTTACGATTCTGAGCCCTAATTAGGGTAAGATGCCCACATACTTTTGAGGCAAATTACACATTGCCCACCTCTGGAATTTCCTATTTGGTAGTTTATAGGTATTTTTTGGTTTTGGGGGCCTTAATCGTGGACACTGGTTTCTTCCCGTGACGTGCGCTGGAAAACAGGGTCCCTAACTAGCCTGTGGACAAGGCTAGGTACCTCAGACACTGCAGTTCCTGGTTCCCCTTTGTGACTCAGTTCTTAAGTCCCCATCTCGTGGCCTCACATGTGGTCCTTCGGAAAGCACACAGAACAGTACAGAATTAAAGCCCACAGTTCCCAAGGCCAGGATTAGCATTTTCACCAGTAAACAAATCTTGTAGTCATTTCCAGGAAAAAAAAAGAAAGTTGTGTGTGTGTGTGTGTGTGTGTGTGTACACACACATATATATACATACATATAGATATATGTATATAGTGTCTATGCTCTCAAGATTAATTGCCTTTCACAGTGCTGCAAGTATTTTTGTTTTGGTAACTAGAATATTCCAAACCTCTAACTAACATTTTCTTTCCACAAAGTCTAGATTTTTCATTAGGACCCAGGATTTGCAGTTACTTGGGCATATTACCTAAAATCACAATTGTACTGACGAAGAGCAGGTCACAAAGCTCATTTGAAAAGAGTGAGAGGAAGAAAGGCAGAGAAACTGGAAGCTCATGCTACTATATGTGATAAGTTAAACACACGTTTAAGTACTTTTTGGAAAAGGGATGAATAAACTGTTCTCCATGTCTACTGGGAATTAGGTAAGAAATAAGGAGTTCTAACTACAGTGAGGAATATCCCAGTCTGTCATTAGGAAAGCCTTTCTAGCATGAGGGAATAAATTACCTGGAGAAGTTGTGGAATCTCCATCCTGGGAGGTTTTAAAGACCAGATTAGAAAAACATATGTTAGGAAGGGTTCAAATACAGTTGACCTGTGTTAGTGAAGGAGTATGGACAAGAGGATTTCTTCAGATCTCTTTCAGAGCTATATTCTAGGATTCCTGAAACATGGTTAACACATAGGAGTTTTTAATTTATTACCTGATAGGTCACATTCCTTGCCTGCTGCATGAATATATAAAACAAATAAAAGCATTCACAAGTAGAGCCCAGTGAAGTTCTCTTAGTGAAACGTGCGTTTGCCTCAAAACATAAGTTCATTGGTTCTGACAGTATCTACAAATTTCAATTGATTTTGTCAAGCAAGATTTACTGGAGGGAAAAAAACAGTGATAAATGCACATATGCACACAAAAAAGTCCATATATGTCCTTCTTTCTTCCTTTCTCACTAACACCCACCCACTGAAATTATTTTTGTCTATGGCATTTACAGCTCTGCCAGATACATTACCACATATATTTAGTCTCTGTACTAGGTGAAATGCGAAAATAATATGATGGTAGGAAATATTGCATTCTGCATCAGAAGCATTGATACCATTTATCATTCTAATGAATAACAAAATTGTTAACAGTGGAGTGAAAATCAGGGCATGGATTTTAAATACACAGAAAAGAGGTTGAATATCAGGCCATTGACTTCATAAGGGCCAGGAGCTCATTTAGGATCAACACCTGAACTGCATAGAGTTTAACTGGAAGCATGCAAGTGAAGAAAGACAGAAGACTGAAAAAGCATCAGTAATTAACACTGAGCTCTAGCAAGTGTTTTGTTAGTGCCGTTGTTTGTAGATATGGGCTACTATATGAGATCATTCATGCTAATAATTTGGATGCAACCGGTTCTGGCGTATATGGTGAGCTAATATACTCGCCTGACTTTTCACTTGCCTTCACAAATGCCATTCAAAATTTTAGTCCCTCAATTTGGGAGATGGATTTTCTTCTGAGACATAAGCTTGCTTGAGAATGGTAGGAGGTTATAGGACAGATCATGACCTTCTCTTCTCTCTTAACAGATGATGATCCTGTCCCAGTAAGCTGTAAGATCTAGCATCAATTTATTACAAACTACTGTGATGAGTACAGGTGCCTAACAAGAAGGTTTAGAGGTCAGTCATCCCTGTAAAACCAAGGGAGTTTTGCAAACAACAATCTAAAAGTTTTCTGTTACTTAAAAGACTGCACTTTTGGAAAAGCAAATATGTCAATACAAATGGTCGGTCACAGAGTACCTGACCTGGACAGTGAAGGCTGCACTCATTTTTCAATTAACAATTAAGATCTGCAGATAAATGAATAAAGAATTTTTTCTTTTATTTAGGAAAAATAATATATAGACAACCAAGAAAGGCTTCATTTGGAAGTAAGACAAAAAGGGGGGCAGCCTCCAGCCTGAATGACCATCCCTGGATTTTTATTCCAGAGATACCACTGTATTAAAGACAGCAGAGGTTTTTTTCTTTCCACATTTGGGACATGTAATTGAGGACAGAGAAAAAGAAAGCATAATTCCATCATGTCGCATGTGCAATAGGCCATGAAAAAGAACTTGTGTGATAGATTATTCGGTTACGTTTTTATAGAGCAATTTCTCATAGAAAGCAATGTACTGTATGGGATTTGTACGGCAGCTGGTACTTTCAGCATGTGCTAATCAGTTCTGATTCTAATCTGCTGATAGTATGTAGTGCTGTCAAAAGAAGAAAACAAAAGCCTACACTTCTAGTCTGGTGTGCCTGAAGTTGGACCCTTAAAAGCATGCCTAGCTAAGGTTTTCAAAAGGACTAAAAACTTTGTGCTCTCATTATACTGATGGAGTTTTGGGTAGCCAGCAACTTTGAAAATGAGGGCATCCTGGACTCTGTCAGCACCCAGGTCTGAAAAGATTATTCCAATTTCTAAACAATAGCTTTCTATTGTTTTGCTTTGAATCAATGTCATTTCAATGAGACTAGCAAAGTTTGGAGTTAGCCCTATATTTCTATTGGTATCAATGTGAAATTTTGAGGTTAAATTCCCTTGAACAGGAGTAGCAGCATATCCCTTAGAGAGCAATGAGGTTGAGGGTCAAATACTTTGATGAGGCTGGAATGAAAACAGAGTGTGTGATCCACTCTCTTCTCAGATACTTCAAAACATAACACACTGGAATACACTTTCACCTTTGTAAAGCACATAAGTCTGTGCAAAAAAGGACATAGAAGCAGGGTTAGCTACGTATGTCTTCAGTCTAGGATTCAAATTTTAAATCATTCATGGGATAAACCCTACATTAATGTTTAGTCTCATTTGTTCTGATTTCACTCAAAATCTGAATGCTTGTTCTCATTAATTCTGAATGCTTTTTTGCTAATTAATTTTTACGATAATTTTTTTTGTGTCTTCAGAGACTTTTGTTCTAGCTGCCTGTAATTCTGATTTATCTTTTTAAAGAGTCACATCTAAAATATTATGTAGAATTACAATTTGTTTCTGGGTTTATTAATAAATTGCCATGCTCTTGGAAAGTGCTTTGAAACAACTTTTAAATCTTAAAGGTCTTATTTATCCATATATGGGCACGAAAAATTTTTTTTACATTTCACTCATCTTTAATTTTCGTCTGGAGATTTGCAGTTTCTAGTCCATGCCCACTCTATTTCTGTCTTGCTACTTAAGAGCAGAACATTGCTTGATTCCTTGGAAGTGCAAACATGCAGTAGCCAGACAGTTAGTTTAGACTACTAATTTCATTAATAGTTAATAATCTGGAAGTAGATGGAGGCGAACTGGAACCCATGGTATCAATGAAAGGTTTCAGATCCTTCCACTGGCTACAGAAAAAAGGCAAAGTTGTGTAACTGTCTTTTACTTATCTCTTCCTCTTACAAAGGCTATTTTGGTTGACAGCTCTTTGCACTTGGCTTATGGAAAAGTTCTGGCCTAATGTCAGTCCCACACATATAAAAAGTCTGATTACAATTTTTAGACAAGATACTATCACTGGAGTATTAATAATCTCAGCTTTTATTAGCTAGTGAAGGACATTTATTCTCTTTTGGGACTAATCACAGACACCAAGTATAAGGTAAAATATATGAAAGATAAAGAAAAAGAAGTTTTTTTATCCCTCTTCTGACAGATGGCAATTGGAAAGATAAAGAATTAGTGATATATTCAAGGTCAGAGAGATAACACCACACATCTTCTATATCCTAATCTAATTCCTTAATTAAGGCCATTCCTTCAATCGTATAAATCATGGCATGGCACTTTTCAGGCTTGAGCCATCTGACTCATTATATGTATTTTAACTCTTAATCTGTTAAAGTACCTCTTGGTTTTTCTGCAGATTTTCATGGCCTGTAGCAGATGTTGTCTTCTCCCATTTCTCTGCAACTTCATTTGCTTCTTCTATTTTTTGCTCATAGCTTTTCTGGGAATTTAGCAGTGTCACTTCATAAAACTCTTGAATATCTGTTTGTAGAGAGGAAGAAGTAAAAGACATTACTTAATATGTTGTCTTTAGAATCCCCAGTGTTTACCTTTGGCTGATATATATTTATGCATTTTCAGAAGATACATGATAAACATATATTGCTTTTCTAGTAGAAAGCACTAATATACTTTTTTTGCTGAAATGTCAATGAGATTCTTGAGAAATATTCTCATTTTAAAGAGGTTCTTATGAATCATTTCAAAGAAATAAAGGAATATGTATGAGAAGAGACTCAAAGAACCTATTACGCTCACACCTGAATAATAAAGGTAGAACAGACATTATACAGAGACAAGTAATTCAGATAACTTTGATCAGTAAACTAGAAGCCTACAGATATAAAATAGCTTAAGAGAAGTTTGTTATCAGACACCTGCCCCGGCATTTGAGCCCCTCTCAGCCCCAGCTGCACGTGCAGTAAGCAATTTTTGGGGGTAGAACTCAGGACTTGAAGAAAGATTTTGTGGGCTAATCACTTCAAAGCTGTTGTCATTCAAAAGTGGTTAATCAAAGTTTAGTTTCAATCAGGAGTCTGTAATAAGCCAGATCTTTTTATTCTATTCAGATGTTAATCACATCATTGTTATTCACATATATTTCCTAGTGTACAGATATATAAGATTCAGCAGTAAAAATACTTTCATTGAAACCTGTACATGTAACCATCAAAAGAGGACCAGAGAAAAGAGAAGAATTTTCCTTCCTTGAGGCATGATTTTAGTCCTAGTTCCTACAGGGAGTGACACGTGGTCTGACAGAGATATTTGACTCACAAAAGAAAAAAACAACGTTATTTTCATTAGGAACAATGGACAGGCTTTCTTCTGGACAAAAAAGAAAAAAAACAGTTTCAGGGAGAAAGATGACATTTCTCCAAACCCCCTCCGGGACTTCAAAGGAGGGACTGGTTATAAAAATGGCCATGTTTTCAAGAGTGGCTCTCTCTAATGAGCGCTACCTCGGACATAAAGAACGCAGGAAGGCACAACCCTCGACAGCTAGGTGTCAGGAAGGTTGCAGTAAGTCAACTAGAGAAGGAGACAGAGGAACCTTTCTGATCTTAGGCAAGGGAATGAAAGGGGGGGGAAAATCAAGCTTTTTGCACTTATACAACATCTTTCATAAACATTTATGACTGTGTTCTTTGTTTATATTTTGTGAATAAATACTTTATTTGCACATTACTTTAAATTAGGTTGAGTTAAAAGTGACGCCAAGGTACCCAGACAATCAAAATCACTCCTTAACAGAGGCTGTGAGGAGTCTGTACTGGAGGTACAGACACACATTAACAGGAACCCTAACCTCCCAGGATATTCCAGCATGTCTAAAAGGAAAGAGTATGTGCCCAGGAAAAACTTCATAAGCCAGAAGAGCTTCCAGTTCCTGCACTAACCACAGTGTTTGCCTGGCAAGCAGGAAAATACGGGGGTTTTGTCTGACCTTCAAAACCAACCAGGGATTTTTCTGATAGGGGTTAGATCTCATGTCTGGGCCGGGAAGACATTGTTTCTAACCATAATGAATAACCTACCTTGGAAGTACATCTCCATTTTCTGTTATATGTGGTCTCATACGACAGGAGACTGAACCAGATTCCATGTGGGAAGAACTGGAAGAGCAGGAGAAGGCGCAGAAGGGCACACAGCAAAGGGTTTCTGCCTCTTTCAAAGGCCACAGGATGTGTCCCCCTCACATCAGGTCTCTGTTCAGATCACTGTGAGCCACTCTTCCCTCTATAGCAGCACTCAGATTTGAACTTTCCTCCTGACTCCTTTTTCTACCTTCAGAGTGGTTATGTACTTTATTTCTCATGGGGAAAACTCATCAGAAATTTTTATTTTAACATTAATAACAGTGATCCATTGAAAGTAGCCACTAACTTCTGTTTTATAGTTACGAAAAGAAGCTTGCTGAATGATATAAATAGAAATATTCGTAGCAATTTATATTTCATATTGCTAAGAGCATTTAGCTCTACCAGTAAAATTAAAAGCTACTTTTAAAAATGAAAAGCTATAGAGTAGCTGCGATGAGCATGCAGGTGTGGGGGATTTTTTACCATCATTTGAATGTTCGCAGTAGAACTGCATTTGTAATATATCGTTTGATGCCAGGTCAATTTATATTGTAACTGCAAGTAAAACATACCGGACTACTATATGATTATCTCTAGACAAATACTCAGCAGAAATAACCTAGAAATTGCCCTGTGGCAGTGGCATTCAGCTGGCATAGCTATAGTTATTGGAGTATTAATTGGGTTGACAGTAGTCCGTCAGGGAACAGCAAAACAGAGCTTTCAGTCTGACTTTAAAGACCACCTTGCCCTAATGGGTTCTTTAAAAACAATGCATGAGCCTTATATGCCTTATGTGCATGTATGCGTGTGCAAAATACATATAAAAAAAACGTTTCTTTTCAAAGGTCCTCATCTTTTTTGAGAGCACAGTAGGTTTCTTTCACTAGAATAATGATCACTGGTACGCAGGGAAGAGCTTTTCAGCATGCTTATGTAGTTACACAACCTCAGAAAGCACAGAGGATTCGCTTAGTTGGTTGCTTTGTTATTCCATAAGCTAAAATAGCAATTTCTATGGAACGAGAGCAGTAACTTGCAGTCTGTCAAGGTTAGCATAACATAGGGTCTATAATTTGCTCTGAGCACAACCTGCTCTATCATGTGATCTCCATTATGTTAGAGGTACTATCAATTACTGGGAGGAAGAAAGCAGCTGAATATGATTAAGGATGGGAGAAGAGGTGCAAGGGCCGTGATGGGATCAAGCGGTTATGAAATTGAGTTTGGAGCAGAGGTCAGAAAAGGTAGTTCTGAGAACATGGCAATTGCCACGTAAAATGATCAAAATACAATCTCTTTTCTATTGGGGGACTTACAGGGAGATAATTCAACTAAAAGGCTAACATTTTACACAGTTTTTATTGGTACTATCTTCAGTCCCTTCTGTGGAAACAAGTTCATTCAGAAATGGCAATATTACTATTGATGAACTTAGTAAGCACAAAACATCTCTCTTATTTTGGTACCAGAGGAACTGTTCTCCGCGCTGTGCCACTCCAAACATTTTGTCAAGCAATGAATTTATGATTGTTTAAAGTGTCTGCGAATCTCACTGGATTTTCAGTCCAATTGAATTTGTTCATTTGCTTGTTAGGAGATGACTTACTTTATTAAACAAACTCCACTTGCTGCTCTCTTAGCCTAGCCCAAATGTTTTATCAGTTTTGCTGCATAAATTGTATATGAAAAATTATACATATTCTAATACGAAGTTAGCCTAAACATACCATGATAGATTTTATTTTAGATAATTCCAACACTGAGGAAGCAGGAAGATAAATTTTCACTACATCAGCAAAGTCCTGTTTTCTTTATTACAATTTTTGAAAAATTTAATCATTTAGGCTGAAATTTGAGTAATGCTCACTCTTCATCTCACTTTTTTGTTTAAAAAAAAAAAGAAAATTTAAAGCAAAAAAATTTGGACAACAAATAAGAATAGGAGAAGACACAACATCTTACATAGAAGAGAGACCTTTCCTTCAGGCAGCAGCTATGCAGAAAAAATAATGCATGACCAGACAAAGCTGAATAGGTTGTCTAAACTGTGTCATAGCTTGACTTTCAAATGATTGATTCTGCAACCCTAGAACCATTATTTCAGTACGATTTTTGTTCCAATTTTTATGCATCACAATATACATTCATTACAGGAAAATGTTACAATTCTTGTAGCAAAGGGGTTAAATAACATGAAAAGGAAAAGATTTAGAATAGCCTAAACTACTTTCTGTCTTCTGTGACCATGAGTTTTCGCTAGCATTCTAATGAGGAAAAATAAGATAAAGCAATACAATTCTTCATTCGTCTCTAAGCACTTCAGCACCAGAAAGATAGAGGTAAATTGAAGGGAATTCAGACAAAGACAGATGATTAAAGGTCGGAGAGGACTAACTTTTGAGGAAAGATTAAAGGAAGAGAATAATAATAACATACTCTTTTATATTTCCTTTCATTTCAAAGCAAAACAAGCATTAAGAGCCCTATAATGTTGACTAAGAAAACTGCAGAAGGCCTCAAAGATAGGCAAAACCTGCTGGAGTTGAACTGTGGAGGTCTGCAAATGACGAGATCAGGTATGCCAATCCCTTTGTGATCAGTAACCAACCTAGAGTGGCTTCAGAATCGCCAGTGGATTCAACACAATGTTATTCCATTAAAAAAAAAAAACAAAACTCTTTGCAGAAAGGTAGATGTGGCTGCACTAGCAAACTTGGACTAGATTCCTGGTACACCAGGAATGGGGCAGAAGCCTGTCACTCCTACAAGCGTTCCTTTATTTGTGATGCTCATAGTGGTTTAAAAACAGCATAAAGAGGTGATCAAAGTTTTTGCTCCTATTTATGCATCTTGATGCCCTCTTCAGTGCTGACCCCATTCTTCAGCTGTGTAAGTTAGAGTAGTCTAGCTGGTAACCTGAAGGCTGGATCAAGGATTAGGTATATAACTTTGTCATCTCTATGATTTTTCATGTACACAGGGAAGCATTGGAAGATACCAAATGCATCTCAGTAGTTTTATTTATATTCAGACATTAAGGCACATACATATCAAGACATTAAGGCACAATCATTAAGGCACATACATACCAATGCACTGAGCAGGTGGGATTACCCCAATATAACTCTTTACACCAACTGACCTGTAGCTGCACTTTGTTTGTGCCTAATTAATGCAGAAGGTTAAGAGGAGAGAGGAGGGAATATTGTAAGATGGGTTTTGCAATGTGATATAGTACAACGTGTAGAGATGCTCAACTTGAGCTTGTACAGTTCTACCAGACAGCTGCACAGTGGGGACAGACTTGCAAAGTGTCAAAAGCAGTCTGGACTCAGAAACCAGGGGACCTAAAGAAAAACGCATCAGAAATGGACAGAAAAAATCTTGTGTGTCTCT